CTCTGTCGTTATTCTTAAAAACCACTTGGCATCCCTCGAAGGCGGGAATGCACCTGCAATCGCTGCAGTGCACGCCTAAGTGCCCTGACACGAACGTTGTATCGATGTTCTCTGAGTTGCCCTATATAACGACGGCTGCAAGATAAAGGAATGGAATAGACCCCTCCTTGCACACAACAAACGAACTGATTTTGGTTTTTTTTTTTTTTTTTTTTTGTGCACACGATCTTGTTGTTAACATCTGAATTTACTTTTCTGCAAAACCCTGCCAACTTATTAGGTGCCGAAAACACAACCTCAACACCTACACTTCCCACTTTCGTCAGGTTATGTGAGATACCATAAAGATACGGTACAACGGTGACGTTTTTGCTCACTTGTCTAGCCTTCAGGGTGGAGTTATTATGCCTCTTCTTTAGTAAGACCTCAGCCACTGTAGTTAATAATAGATACACCGGATAGCCAGCAGTCCGGAGTAGAAGCTTGTTCATTAAAACTTATATCAACCTGGTTTGAGCACGACTTGTCCAGAGCATTTTGAAAACACAGGTTAACTATCCCTCGTTTTACAAGCTTAGAGTGCGCTGAGGTGAACGGCAGAAGTGGTTTATTGCTTCGTGGTTCTTATCCCCAACACATGTGAGCATCACAAAAGTGAAGACGGAGGTCTAAAAACCTAATGGAGCTATTATAGGCAGCTCATGCGTCAAAATGAGCGGTTTAAGGCTATCGCTGAAAGTAGTCAAAACAAACGAAACCTCTGCTCCGAAGGCTTTTTTGTCACAATCACACAACCAAATAATCATCCACAAACCTAAAACTTCTTGCGACCTTAGAACCTACAAGTCTTGTAACAGGGACTCTATTATAAAATGCGAGATAAATGTCGCTCAGCACGGGAGCTATGCACGACCCCATACAGACACCATTCTTTTGGATAAACACATTGTCATTCCAGGTCGCAAACGTCGACTTCAAATAAAACGCCAGAAGCTCTAAAAACTTGCTCGCACTAAGGCCTGCTTCATTTTGAAACGCCACATAGCCATGCCTGACAATGCATTCTTCAACACTTGCCATTAGCTTGTTATGCGGGAGTGAATAATACAGATCTTTTATGACTATCGAGGCTAGGCCAAAAGACTCCTGCTAGGATAGTCTTTTAGATACCCAATTATTTCTTCTGAATTCTTAACTCGAAATGGGTCATCTATCACAAGCACATTCAAACTCTTCTGTAGGAAGGCAGCCGTGGATTTGTGCAGCGTCCCATTTTCCGATGCAATGACACGCAGAAGGCAATCTACTTCATGTGTTTTGGCTGAAAAAAAAATAATTTTAGACTTAACCCTCTACATTTTTCCACAGATAGCGCAAGTTTATTTAAACCTGGCCTCTTCTAGCTTAACTTTTGAAAATGGCGCATCGTCCTTGTTAGAAAAAGTAGCATAGACAGCATCAGACGCTTTTTCCAAAAACATGCCCTTTGGTGCAACAACAAAGCCCCCTTTTTTATCTGCTGTTAGTAGCGACAGATTGTTATCCTTTAAAAAGGAGACCGTGCTCTTTAGAGGAATCTTATGACCGGAAGGCTTACAGTTCATGAAGACATACACTCCTTCAGACACACATCTTTCGGTCTCTGATTCCGGAGCTCTTGCAGAGACTTGCTTCACCATTGATAGAAGTTCAGGAGACGATCTCTTCGGCTCCACGGCGAACTTGGGGCCTTGGCACAGGACCCTTTCCACTTGCTTCGGGAGATCAGTTCCATCCAATTTGTGGATATTGTTTTCTGCAGCTGGAGTTGTCTTGGCCACGCTTGCTCGAAGGTGCAACAAAGCTTGTTGCCACAGAAAGTCAACAGTTCTGTCAAGTGTACGTAAAAATTCGCGCCACCGAGAATCACTCCTGTACGGATTGGCCCTTTCTTGAAGGCGGTATGAACAGGCACTCTCTGTAAAGTCGTGTCTGTCGTTCACATTCTGAACGGAGGATCCTGCGAACCCGCATTCCATGGCCTTGCGAAGGACCGTACGCACCAAACAAGACCCGGACTTATATGCGGATCTTGTTTGGTGCGTACGGTCCAAACAAGATAGATACGATCCGGACTTCGATCCGGATCCTGTCTGTCGAGCAGGAGTCTTTTGGCCTGCCTGCTCGATAGAAATAAAATATATGTATTATTCGCTCCCGCATGACAAGCTAATGACAAGTGTTGAAGAATGTAATGACAGGCATGGCTATGTGGCGTTTCAAAATGAAGCAGGGCTTAGTGTTAGCAAGTTTTTAGAGCTTCTGGCGTTTTATTTGAAGTCGAGGTTTTCGACCTGGAATGACAATATGTTTATCCAAAAGAATGGTGTCTGTATAGGGTCGTGCGTAGCTCCCGTGCTGAGCGACATTTATCTCGCATTTTATAATAGTCCTTTTGACAAAACTTGAAGGTTCTAAGGCTGCAAGAATTTTTAGGTTTGTGGATGATTATTTGGTTTTATTAGATTTTGACAAAGAGGCCTTCGGAGCAGAAGTTTCGTTTGTTTTGACTACTTTCAGCGATAGTCTTAAACCGCTAACTTTGACGCATGAGCTGCCTATAAATAGCTCCATTAAGTTTTTAGACCTCCGTCTTCACTTTTGTGATGCTCACACGTGTTGGGGATATGAACCACGAAGCAATAAACCGTTTCTGCCTTTCACCTCAGCGCACTCTAAGCTTGTAAAACGAGGGATAGTTAACCTGTGTATTCAAAAGGCTCTGGACAAGTCGTGCTCGCACCAGGTTGATATAAGTTTTAATGAACAAGCTTCTAGGACTCCGGACTGCTGGTTATCCGGTGTACATATTAACTGCAGTGGCTAAGACCGTACTAAAGAAAAGGCGTAGTAACTCCACCCTGAAGGCTAGACAAGTGAACAAAAACGTCACCGTTGTACCGTATCTTTATGGTATCTCACATAACCTGAGGAAAGGGGGAAGTAGAGTAGGTGTTGAGGTTGTGTTTTCGGCACTTAATAAGTTGGCAGGACTTTGCAGAAAAGTAAATTCAGATGTTAACAAGATTGCGTGCACTAAAAACACTAAGATCAGTTCGTTTCTTGTGTGCAAGGAGTGGTCTATTCCATTCCTTTATCTTGCTACCGTCGTTATATAGTACAAATGGGAAGATGCTTAAACGATAGACTTAAGAGAACATCGATACAACGTTTTTAAAGTCGTGTCAAGGCACTTAGGCGTGCACTGCAGAGATTGCGGGTGCATTCCTGCCTTCGAGGGATGCCAAGTGGTTTTTAAAAATAAGGACAGAGGGACGCGGGAAATAATAGAAACACGTGATATTGCGCGACTGAGTCCTGATTGTGTTAGTGCCCCCTAGCCGCCTCGGTGGCTCCCGAGGCGAGAGCGCCGGCCTTCGGATCCCCATGTGGCGGGTTCGAATCCCGACCGCGGCGCCCGCAATCTGACGGAGTCTTATTGCGGAGAAGGCGCCGTGTAACCGAGCTCTCGGTTGCACGTCAAAAGATCCCCAGGTAGTCTAAATTAATCATCGGTCCTCCACTGGGGCGTGCCAGATGCCCGTCGTTGGTTTGGCACGTAAAACTCCCAAATTTGACTTTGACTTCGTGTTAGTGCCCCGTCACTCGTACTTTCGGATAAGGAGCGGCAGTTTTTAGAACGATGAGGGCAAAGCATTGACAGTGTTTTATTGAAAACGTGACATGTTAGATATCTTTTGTGTTTTTTCCTTGATTTTTTTGGGGTGGCATGTTTGCTATTTATAACAGACGCCTACACGAATAAATCTTCAGTTGAAAGTCAGCGCTGTGTCCCGTGGTTTCTTCTACTTCGTCCTCGTCTTTGTGCTGTTTTGTTTTTATCATGTCTATATACTTACCAACTAGCCCAAACTTCTACGTTATTTAACTTTATATGGCACTCATATAACCTTATATGTTAACTTTTCAGGTGTATACAATTTGTATACGATCTGACATTTCCCAAATATGTAAATTGGTTATTTCAAGTGCCATTTTAGAGCGCAGCTCTTAGGGGCCCGTTTCCAGCCTGAGCGGCGTCGCCGTCGCCGTCGCCGTCGCCGTCGGCGTAACCGCGCGTTGCATGCAACTCAGAGGAGATGCAACAGGTTGCATGCAACCTGACAAGCAGCAGGTTGCATGCAACCTGTGATGCAGCAGCTCATAGGAGATGCAACAGGTTGCATGCAGCCTGAGATGCAGCAACTCAGAGATGTAACAGGTTGCATGCAACCTGAGATGCAGCAACTCGATGAAGATGCAACAGGTTGCATGCAACCTGAGATGCAGCAACTCAGAGGAAATGCAACAGGTTGCATGCAACAGGTCACGTGACTCCCCAGGTCACGTGACCCCCCGGTCACGTGACCCTGAGGGGGTCACGTGACCACTCTGAGGTCACGTGACCCCCTCCCCCGAGGTCACGTGACCCCCCCCCCCCCGATGGCGTCATCGTCACTGATAACGTCACCGGCATCCGCATCGTCATCGTCATCATCGCTGATAGCGTCATCAGTGACGTCACTTATGACGTCACCGGCATCCGCATCGTCATCGTCATCATCACCGATGACGTCATCGGTATCCGCATCGTCATCGTCACATGAGTGACGTCACTGATGACGTCATCAGTGACGTCACTGATGACGTCATTGGCATCGTCACGTGGCCCCCCAAGGTCACGTGACCCACCCACCCCCCTTACCCTTCCCTCCCCCTCCTCAAGAGCTGCGCTCAAATTCGGCGTTACAGGTAGTTGTAAACGGCTTTCACTTTTTTTTCTTTCACTTCTCAACCCTATTCTTAGGGATTTTGTTTTTAATGCTTCGCTAAACCCTTGGTATATTGAATATTCGCCAAAGGTTTTTTTAATGAATATTATTCATTCAATCAAAAACACCCTGCCTATCATATATCACTTTCTGATAAAACATTTCTCTCTTACAATGATCTTTAAACAGCTCCACTGGATGGAACGCTAGTTGTATGGGACCCTAATGTCAGATGCGCTGTTTATCAAGAACAGGTCACCACAACGGTAAGTTCTTAGTGTTACATGACTCATTATATTCTTGTTGGTGGACTTGCAAACACGCAAGTCCACCAACTTGCGTGTTTGCAATATATGGGTAAGTTTGGGTGTTTTTGTGACTTCCCACGACACAAATTAATGCTAATCGCATAGCAGCAAGATTCGATCATTATGCAAGATGAGATAATATACTGAACTGAGTTTCGTTTTTTTTTTAAAGTGCAGTAGTATTTTTTGTTTATTCGCTTAATGATGCAACAGACTGTATACAGTCTGTTGCATCACAAGAACTGCAACAACGGTGCTGTTTACAAAGGAAACAAAAACAAAGTTCCGCTCAATGCTCAATGCGTTTCGACGCAGTAGCTTGGACGGAGATTTGTTTTGTGGACGCCAGTCATTTAGCAAAGACTCCTGGCGGATGCTGTTCCTTATCCGTGACGCAAGAAAAATGTTGCTTTCGCACTAATTAAATATTGTGGTAAAGCTTTTTTTTTCTGGGGATTTGGAGCGGAGCTTGACCTGTAGTTCTCCAGTATTATAAGTCATTGCAAATACTGCATGGAGCATCGAGGATGATTTGCAGGTTTTCATTTGACTCCGCCACCGACGGCGTTAGGACCACTATAAAACTGCTTACGACGATAATCGATAAACCACACTGAGGCTACAGCTATCGGGCCATCCGGGGACATTCGCGATCTGCGTATGTTTACATCTATTTTACCCGTCATTTTCTCCCCATGTGCTCGAAAATATCCCGACAGTGTTATAACCTACCATTCCTCATATACACTGCGTAGATTTGATCTTGCCCGCTAATGATACAACGCAGATCGGAAGGGCTCCGGGTCTACCTCATAGATGGCGCCAGTGTGCCAGTGTTTTATCTCGTAAACAGTGACAGGCGGTTGGTCGGTTATACGTTCACCCAAATGTGTGAACCGGCTTTCAATGGTCGTAGCGTATACGCGCAGAGCTTGTACACATACGGCATATCAGTAATGACGACAACGAAAGTAATGAAGAGAAAAAATAGTAACAGGAGCATGACCGAACCGCCACCTTATGTTCTCCGAGATAATTTCGTCCTTTACCTCTCCAGAAATTTGCGGCTCCTATGTGCTCAATGTACTGCAGCGGAAGATTCAAACCGATGCAAGATGGGACACCCTGCGTGGTAAGTCTGCTCTTGGGTCACCGTAATTAATTATCGAACGTAATTACCGGTTATGAAGCTCTCTTTTGATTTATTTGTCACTTTGACGGCGACCATTTCATCATCACAGTCAAGTTTTCTGGCTTTTATGTGGATATGTATGTTGGGAAGTGGCATTTTATCGAATTAGTTTTAGTAAGCTTAAATTGCTGTCCCTGCAAATCTCGACCTGGTACTCTGCTGAGGAGAAAGTTGACAAGACACCATCGTATGTTTTTTTATGTTCCCCTCTTGTATTTATGTCTACGAAGCAGATAGAGGTAAAACATTGCAAAAGCACAAATAAAGCAAACAAAAGCGTAAAAAAGAAAGAAACTTGCAGGAATGTTTGACGTCACGTGGCACCTATCGAGCTCCGTGCGTCTCATTATCGCTTGGCAGCCAATGAGGTTTTGGCATTGGCTGATCAGAACGCCGATCAACCGGTCACAAAGCAGGAATCATTAACGTCATAAGCCACGCCCCGAGTTTCTTGAGCTGTCGGTGACTGTACACTGTCAAGTACTTTGTCTGAGCAAGCATTGGCTCAAAAACAAAGCACAATCCAAACATACACGCTGCAACTACTAAGAGCTCCTATAGATGGAGTGGCAGTATACTAAGTGCGCTCCACCGAGTAGCTGCTGCGCAAATTACAGGAGTCTGCCATATCGGATCCAGCCCCGTACCCAAGAGTTGAGAATCGCCAATGTTGTTCAATGGACGTCTGAAAAAGGTTAATTTAAGATTAACTATACAAGCGTCGAACCGATCAATAAAAACAGGGGGAATACTGGGAGCCTTTACATTATATTTTTTTCGCATCGCGTGATCATTTGTCGGGTATTGTGCGCACGCTGGAATGGGTTGTCTTAAAGGCTGACGAGAGCCGGAAAGGAGGAAACTCTTTCTCGGATCCTCCTTTCCATTCGAGAAAGAGGGAGACCATCCTCCTTTTTGTGAGTAGCAGCTCAGAGACCCGCTCCTGTGGGGAAAAGAGGGGAGAAGAGGGCGAGAGGGAGTGGGGAGAAGGAAACTGGGAACCGATTTTCTGCCCATCAGAAGGCGAATCTGTAGGTCGGCCTTTAAGTTCATTTTAATATCTTTTGCAGCTCGAGCGTTCGTTTGATTTTTGGTGGAAATCTAGAGTAAAGCGGCTGGGCGTATGCAGATTAGGAACGTGCATTGAGAAAGGTAAGGGACCAAGGTCTCCGTATTATTTTGAGAGACTGAATGCCATTTTGCGAATCGGAGAGAATGTTAGCAGATTTGGTAGAAGTTAGTGAAGAACGACATTAATTTATGACTGATTGATTTATTAATTTCAGTTATGCTCGCTGACGATAATCGAAAACCATTACTTCTTGACAGAGGTCGCTGCCGAGTTTCGCTTTATAATTGTTTGTTCATAACGAAAGTAAACCTAAGCGTTCAACTCTTAAATTCTGTGGATGAACTTTTGGTTTACGTCTTATTCTCCAATTATATTTGCGGTGCCCTTTAACTGAATCCTGATGACGATCATTAGGAAGTTTTAGAATAACGCACGGAATTTTAGCGCTTGCATTCCACTACGCAAGAGTGTTTTGGTATCCTATCTTCGCCGCGACGCAAAAGCCCAATCATCTAGAACTTGCAACGCCACGACGCCGCCAAGATACAGTCACAATTTTTATTTCACACAAAATGCTCGCTGTTTCTTAAAAAAAAAAAAACTTTTTTATTTATTTTTTTATTTAGAGTAAGATTTTAGATTGGATCAAAATGAGAATGCGACGGGTGCGGTCGATCGGTCGCGTACGTTTGCGTCGCCTCGGCAAGATACTTTCGTGTATATTACTGACCTTCGCACACCGTATACCTCGCCGAAAAATTTTCGCGCGTCGCAAGCATCAATTTCTGAAGGTTTCCAGCTGAACGTAGAAGTAAAAACCGAAGAGTGGAGTAAAAATCACTCCTTGGTTTTTACTTCTACGTTCAGCTGGAAACCTTCAGAAATCATGTCATACCAACCGGCTCAGCTCCAGGCAAGCATCAACTTGCCGGCAATCGTTACCCGCTTTACAGGTCTTCCAAACCGAGTGCAATGTCGTCCTACGTTGAAAATCGTAGTCGCGACGCCGGCGTCGCGCTGAAGACGCCGCCATAGCGGTCGCTGCCACCGCAGCCTCGGGGCCGCGGTCCTGGGAGCCACCCTTTTTTAACTGAGCTCGTCTTGGCTTTAGCCAACGTTTCATCACGAATCCTCCTTAGAGGAGCGCAAAGACTCTTTGCGTACGCACGCAAACTCTGAAAAATAGTGTACGCTAAAATAGCGCACGCAACGCGCAAACTGCACTTAGCGTTCGGCGCATATGCGCACTGGCGATGGCGCTATTCTTGTTATACGCAATATCTTGGCGTATTCTATTCTAAAACTCCCTATTATTGTAAACCCAGGCAAAGTTAGTCAACATTTTGTTTTCCAAAAATATTGAAAAGAATTCAACTGGGGTTCCTGAGAAGCCCGAAAGCGCTGTGCATGGGAGCTTTCTTTTAAATAAGTGCAGCTTATTTAATCGTCAAGCGAAAACATTTTTTTTTATAGAAACATAAAACAAGAAGCCGTGAATTTTGTCTTTATTTACCTCCTCTGTCAAATTAACAAACACGCTCGTTTGTTCACTTCAAACCCCCGTTAAATTCTTCATTAGACACAGTGTGGTTTGAGATCAGCATTTGTTCGCTGCATCGTATACCGGTGTGCGGTCGTGTTAACACTCTTGCGAGCTTTTCTAGAAGCTCGGGCCAACAGTTTTGCCAGCCTATATATATTTGACACACACGCTGCACGCGTTAAAGACACAAGGCTAGCAGTCGTACTGCACTGGCCAAATTTTTCATCCACTGTGGTAACAACACCGCCATATTCTAGCGCACTAAACTCGTTGTCTAAACATCGAACGACTACTTCGTTCGCAAAAATCAGAGTGCTGGAGTAGAAAACCTTTATGCTGATGTGCGGTGATCGTGCAATCAATCACTACGGCGTGACTCATATCAGGGACAACAGCTCAACAGCAGTACTGTTTGGTCATTGAACCAGTATAGCGAATCTCAATGATAGATAGATCCGCCGTCGATGAACAAACTTTCGCAACTAGGAATGACTCGAACCGGTCGAGGCTGGAGTTTGACCAGGTTCTCCTAAAATTCAACATGTGCGTATATGTAAAAAAAAAAAAAGGAATGTTTTTAGAGGGTTTTAGCAGCGAGCACGTGACATCGATTTCCACGTCAAATTGATCGGGGTAACTGCATTGGTGTATATGTCTCATGACGCCAGGTCACGTGACATCAATTGGCCAGGCAACTTTAGTGGGAGAACTGACTTAGTGTATAGCTCACGTGATGTCAGTTTCCCTGCTACATTTAGCTGGAAATGTACGGACGAACGGGCGGATAGAGTTTGGGGATGTGGGGGAAGGGGGCCGGGGGGGGGGGGGGGGGGGGGAGGAATCCCGGAAAAAAGTTTACCGCAAAACTGGCGGGTGCGCAGAAAAGCTCACCGGCCTTCGAGCGGACGCGGACAAAAGCTCACCGAACATTTTATCTTCTCATACCTAGACTGTCGGATCGTGCGTCCCATAATTAGAATTAGAACTGAATTTGTACTCCCTGAACTCGTACCATCAGGACTTGACTACATCCGAGACCATGGTCCTGATGACATGGCCGACCTACTCACGTATTTCGATGCGACTTACGAAAGCGGAATCTTTCGCACCTTCCGACAGCGGAAGGAGCTGAGCAGCTGACAAGGACCGAGCGCAGCCGACGCCCTGAGTTCCCTCTGGAGCTCTGGAATGTGATGGATGCTACTCTTCAAGGCAAGGGCCGCACCAACAACGCCTGCGAGGGGTCAATGCATCCAAGCACCTCGTTGGACATTGCCATCCCAGTGTTTTGACTCGAATTCCTCCAGCAAGACCAAGCAGTGGCCGTTGAAGTTGCTGCAAGTCTGTCGAGCAGAGCCACCCGCCAAGAAGACAAGGAAAGAGACAAGCCGCCTGCAGAACAGACTACGAAACCTCTGCAAAGAGTATCTGCAGCATAAACACCTTTTTGTACGTCTTGAAACAGTGGCTGACTGCATTCGCTTTTGAGGCAAATTGAGAATAGCTCTGTGAAATGGAAGCTGCCGATAATGAATTCTTTAATCTTTACGTTTATCCAATGTTCTGATTTTATACTTGCGGCGTGAATTATGGGAAAAAAGTGGGTGATAGCTCATTTGAGAGCGATATGCTTATAAGAATTCAAAAATATTAAAAATAAAAAAAAATTTAATAGTCTTACTAATTTTAATTTGGGACGCACGATCCGACAGTCAATGATAAGATAAAATTTTCGGTAAGCTTTTCTCCGCATCCGCTCTAAGTCCGGTGAGCGTTTCTCCACACCTGCCGATTTTGCGGTGAGCTTTTCTCCGGTGAGCCTTTCTCCGGTGAGAATTTCCTTCGGTGAGTTTTTCTCCGCCGCCCGAGGGGAGGCGGGGGAGGAGCGGTGGGGGGCAGGTTCCGTTTCAAAATAAAAACGTATGCTCTGTGGAACATCACAAACACAAACATAAAAAGGTCCGCTTCCAATGATACATTTTGACTTTAGTACTGAACATGAGCCAGCATATGTATGCAGTCGCCTCACTTATCTTCAACCAGTTTCGCCACTCTCGACTGCATGTCGACCCACAGACGCTCCGAGCGTCATTATGACTAAGAATAATTTCAGCTCTTTTTCGCTGACATGATTTTTGTCATTCCTTTAGTTTCCACAATATTTCAGCTGACGTTAAAAAATATATTAACGCTAGAAAGGCAGGCGAGTTGTGAGGAGTGGTATTTTACCTTCTTTTTTGAGTTTCGTGTATTCTAGCCTTTTTTTTTTTTTTTCTTAATTTCAAGGCGTTTTATTTATTTTTTTTTTTCGCGGAAAAAGGGGGGGGGGGGGGGTTTACAGATTCGGTGATTTCTTTGCGCCAAGCTTGGGTCTCTCTCATTCAAGGACAGCCTCAATTCGATATATTTCGGTTTTCCCGTACTTTGTTTAAACCAGCACGGAGATTAATTTTGGAGGTTCATCAGCAACTACAAAATATTAAAAAAAATCACAGTATCATACATAGAGCGTCACTGTATGTATTTTCTTTGTATTCTCTAACGGCTCGTTTCTTTTTGCCTTACAAATACGTGTTAGGTCCATCGGTGCCTGTCGCTCATCGCGGGTTCCATCGCGGCTGCGTAGCCCACAACGTCCACGTCGAAACAGGAAAGGTATGTATGTTTATCCTTGGAGAGGTTAATATATATATATATATATATATATATATATGGGTGATTTCATCTCAAATCGTGCAGGCAAAAAGGGTCGAATTTTTAATTTCGCCGGAAAAAATATATGTTATGTCAATATATGTTGAGACGTTGCCTCCTCTTTTACTACCTTCTGTTGTGTTCTCTTCCTGCCCCAGTCTCAGGTTTACAATCATGTTCATGTTATGGCGTCGTCTCTAAAAACGCAGTAGCCACAAGCTGCAAGTTCGTCGGATTTTTCGTTCTCGACTTACGAATTTTAAAAGAGGCCGCGGCGGAAAGCAGTGTTTTCCACATCCGTCGTGGGTCGGATGTTTCGCTCGATCTTCCGGCATGGATTTTGAGTCCACATTTTATTCACTTTTTTCAAGCATTCTGTGAGCACATTTGAAAGATTTTAATATCATGAAATAATTTTAGGCGTTTTGCTTTTTTTCTGTAAAAATGTCAAAAACGCCCCCTCGGTTAATTGTTGACGAACTGTGATAATTAAATCGGCTCTGGACCGTGGATCTTAGACTGACTGCATCTTTCTGGACTTTGCAAAGGCTTTCGATAAGGTAACACATAAACTACTACTATACAAGCTTAGCCTACTCAGTATTCATCCATATATCTTATCTTGGTTAGAGTGTTTCCTCACTAACAGATCGCAATTTGTAACTGTCAATAACAAAAACTCGTCATCGTCCCTCGTTAAGTCCGGTGTACCACAGGGTTCTGTCCTAGGCCCCCTCTTATTCTTAGTATATATAAATGACCTACCTACTAGCATTTCCTCCTCCATAAGCGTATTTGCGGATGATTGCGTTGTTTACCGTGAAATTACTAATGACTCTGACGTACACATAATTCAATCTGATTTAAATGCAATTTCTGCCTGGTGTGATGCTTGGCACATGAAACTAAACACTATGAAGTGTAAGACAATGAGGATTTCTCGCAAAGCAGCACTCTGTCCTAACTACTTCCTATCAAATAACATCCTTGAAAACGTATCAACTTACAAATATCTAGGTGTTCATATCTCTCCTGACCTATCATGGAAAACTCACACCGAATATATCGTTAATAACAGTAACCGCATGCTTGGATATTTAAGACGTAACTTTTCTCTAGCTCCATCATCATTAAAATTACTACTTTATAAAACACTGGTGCGACCAAAACTTGAATATGCATGCTCGGTCTGGGATCCCGGTACAGAAAGCCTCATATCAGCGCTTGAAGCCATCCAAAACCGGTCAGCACGTTTTATATTACCAAACTACCATCGTACATCAAGCGTCACATCCATGAAAGCTAGTCTCTCACTGCCCCCTCTTTCCCCTCGTCGCACTATCTCCCGTCTCTGTTTATTCCATAAAATTTACTATGCCAATTCACTCTTGAAAGAACAACTAATCAGTGCTCCCATCTACGTATTTTCTCGCCTCGATCACTGCTGCAAAGTTGGTATACCTACTTCCATTTCAAATTCTTTTTTCAAATCTTTCATCCCAAAAACATCTCGTGATTGGAACGGCCTTCCCTCACCCATTGCGTCCATTGGCGATTTTGTCCTCTTTAAAGAAGCTTTAACAAGTTACTATTCATGATCTGTGCCGGACTAACCATTTTCAGCGTTTTTTGTACTTCCGTTGCCCACCCCCTCTGTAATGCTTCGGCCCTGAGGGTATAATAAATAAATAAATAAATAAATAAATAAATAAATAAATAAATACTGGCGACCTACTTGGGTTACATCAATATTTTTTATGTCTACAGAGAGCCCGAAACACACTCTTTATATATATTATAAAATGTCACGGGCTGTATGAAATATCCTTTGCGGGAAGTTTACGTTAATGTTATGCAAAAACCAAAAAGTACCAAATTTGAAATCAATTTTCTCAAAATAACTATTTTTTTTATGTTTTTCTTATTTTTTTGTTAAAATGTAGATATAATAGTTGTCTATTTGAAAAGAAAGTCGAGAAAGTGTGTATTTTGTTTGTATGTTCTATATTTAAGCCTCAATATCGGAAAAAGACCTTGACGGCTAGTGACGGAGATTTGTCTCGCCTCCGGTCACGACGAGAGAAGAGGGGAAGGAGGAACTCCCCTCTCCTCCCGAGAATGCCTTTTGTGTGTCGCAGAAGTCGCTATTGTCCCCCTAGAAGATTAAAGAAGATTAACCCGTCACTCCAACTTCGTACAAAAGCAGCCGCTTCGGTGTCTGGAACGACTAGGCCATCCTCTCGACGTCAGCCTCGCCGTAGCTTTGCTCGTCCCGAGACGACCTACGTCACGACTGCGTTGGATGTCACGTGGTCTCCGCTGGGCCTTCCCGCCAGAGTGGGCCGTTTATAACGAAAAATACAGCCTACCAGGCTCAAAATACAAACGTGCGATTGTCATATACGGATATTTTGGATTATATTCAACCTATTTTTGAACACGACGGGAATATTTCAAATTTCGTTGAAGTATCCCTTTAAAGGGTTCTGCAATCCTATTTAAAGGGATTGTCCGGTCAAATTTTGTATTCGAGAAAATCATTGAATATCATTGTTATTGCCTCGAGAAGCATCGTACGTGCAATATCTGAATTTTATATGCCTCTCTGCGTGAGTAATTGAATTTATACTGCTCCAATCCCATTCTAGCGTAAGCGCTGCTTTCGCTGGCAACATTGAAACTCTGACGTCACAAAACACAAAGCGAGCAGGCGAGCATTTCTGTCTCGTCGTTTGCCTGCGAGTGAACGCCTCAGCGTGCTTCGTTTTTGTTGTTGTGCTCGACTTATTTCTTGGTTGGGTGAGATTTTTGTTGTGCGGTTGGGTGCCACAACCACCGGACAGCACATGTGAGCCAAGACATAACGTTCCACACTTTTCCGCGAGACGTGCAGTGACGAGCAAAGTGCATCGTCGCTGTGCGTAGGAACTGGGTTCCCGTCAAGATCGAGATCCCGCTTATGCAGCAATCACCTCACAGAAAAGAGCTACGAGCTGAGCTCTAAGCGGACAGAAGGCTCGTAAGCTGGGGTGCGATGCTGTGCCAACGATATTAAACTACGTTCATCCACTCCTCGCCCAAATCGGATCAATCAATTTGATTATGCAGCGAAACCGAAACTGTCACAGTTTCGATTTCCCTTTGACGGTTCTCCCGCTGGCCCTCTACAACGACTGTGAACAATATTTATTTTTGTTGAGGCCTGTCAGCCGGAGCGGTTGGCGCGTGTGTACAAGTTGGGGAAGGACGGAATGAGCTCAGGTGGACACAGAGTTTGAACAACAAACAATATATTTACTTGAAAACAAAAATATATATAAACATAAATTTCAAGGTTTGGCGCATCGACAAACAATACACAACAAAAAGAAAACCCCAAGGTTCCACAGGAACTTCACTAAGTATAAAATAGAAAGAAGCAATAAACAAAACGGTCGGCGCGCTACAGCGACACTACGGTTCAGAATACAAACAACAATGAAACAAAGGAACCAAGCCACGGACGGAGAGCAAATCGATATAAAACGTCCGCAAAAGCGAAGTCCGAAGTGTACGGACGGGTCTCACTGAAATCTGGTGTCGAAGTGGTGAACTGGCAGGAAGACTGCGGCGGTGACGATAAAGACTCAGAAGATATCGCGTCGCCGGGACGCCATTCCCGCCGACTTCACCCCGCAACCATGAACGTCTTGCCCCCTTGACGACCCAAAAAGCTCTGCACAAAAACCATCGGCTGATTCGGCTCCCCACGAAAACCGTCCCCCTCCACGGCGACGTATTTCGCGCCTTTGTCGGCGCCGAAGGCACCCCCGGGGGAAAGAAAAGGAGAAACAAACAAAACCGGGTTTCGTCTTCCCGTTTGTGGTCGCCGCAACGCAATTTGCCCACTGAAAAGGCAAATTGGCGAATGGGCACGGCGAGCAGCACAAAATCGCAAAGAAAAAGCTCCTGGGAGAGTCGGCCGGCGCCAGAGTTTGTGACAGAAACCAACAGCTAGGCCGTCTGGAAACAATGCCAGAACTTGTATTTAGCACGCTTGCAGCCCGATTCTCTTTGACCCGTGTGTGAAAATGGAGCGTGACTATACGATTAATTCACCAAGCTCGCCCAAGTCAAGTGACGACATGCATTTGAACGATTCGCCGTTTGCCTTCGAACCGCGGACATCGCCTCTGAGGGAACGTCCCGCAGCCTCATCACAGATCCAGCGGATCCGCCGACATGTGTACCCAGATACCTCTTCGTGTACCTAGGTGCAGCTTCAGAGGCGAAATCTGCATCCTTTGCCACCTTTGCTTTGCAAGCACCCCTAGTTCGATCGGTGGCCGTCGCAGTTGCACAGTTGTGTTTGCGCGAAACGCAGTGGCGTAGGCAGAGGGGGGGTTTGGGGGGTCCAAACCCCTCCCAAAATGCCAAAGCTACCCCCCCCCCCCCCCCCCCAAACTGGGCCCGCTCGCTCCCCTGCTCACGCAGTCGGTTTTGCACGAGGCACGGAGCAACGCGGGAGCACGGACCATCTCCAACTTGTATGCTTCCGGGAAAATTGCTTGTGGGGTAGGGAATGCTCAAATTAATAAAATATGCAATATTGCTTAATTCATGTTTATTCGATGGGATGCAAAACTTGATCTCAAATATAGAGAACGGATATTTCGAAACATTTGTGGGGTGAAGGATGGCAATTTCAACGCGAAATATGACAAACTATCCTCACTGAAATACACAGTTCAATCAACCCCCCCCCCCCCCAATGTGAACATAATAAAACGAACAGACGGTGATAATATAAAACAATGTCAGTGATGTAAGGAATAATAAATCAATTGTAAAAAAACAATCGCACTGTAAGCAACGGGTGGCGCTGCGCTCACGCACACGTTTTCTGATCAGAATTACGTGCTTTCGACTAGAAATTACCGCGAATAAAAAGGTAACTGTGACTAGTTATATTAGAATTCAATTTACAGGTCCTCTTTATCATCTCATTTATGCCAAGCGCCTACAGATTAAAATGAAGCCGCCTGGGCGTTCACGGGAAAAAAAAAATATCTCGGACGTCCTCCGCTTGAATTTTAATGTCGCGGTAAACATTCAAAAACGCTATACTTCGTTTCAGCTTAGGTACAGATGTAGCCGATGCTAGAAGTGCGAGCTCCGGGCTTTCAGCGTCTCTGCCGAGCACGCGCGCTCGTGCAATGCGAGCACTGTTCAGGGTTACATGTTCACGCCTGTAGCATCGGCTGCGTCTGGAATTAAGCTGAAACGAAGTACAGACCGAGCAGTCGCTCACTCGAAGTGAACGCTCTCAGGTATGTTTTCATCTTTCGTAGAGAAGAGAACGAGCGCTCAGTTTCCGCCGTTGTTAAGGGCAGAGTCGCTAGAATCTTAAGGAGACGATGGACGTTCTGAAATAGGGCCTCGGCCCCTCCGGACAGAGGGCGACCGCCTGTATACCGCAGACGTGACGGGCGCTTCACGTTTCTCCCTCTTGCATCGGACGCCTAAAATTTCCCTATTTTCGGCGAAGTTTCCCTCACTTTGCGAAAATCGTCGCTCACGGATGCGATGAAGTCTGTCTTGCTTTCTGCTTTATATGTCGAGGTGGCATCCGATGCAATTCGTTATTAGATTTATCTTTTCGTTGCACGGAACATTAGAAACTTGAAGAGACAAGCCTTCATATTCTCACTACGCACAGGCGCAAGGGTAGTCAAGTTCCTTTCCACGTTCGGCGTGTAGTTTGTTTGTGGTGCGTCAAGTCATTTCTCCGAGTGACGGAACGACGAGTTCGGACTGATGACTTCTCCTTACCCCGAGGATATGCTGCTGCTGCCTTTGGACCAGGCTGCAAGATGAAGCGGTCTAGCAAAGATAACGCTCTTTCCTTCGGCATCTGGTTCTGTAGCACGAATTTGTTAAACCTTTAATTGATGATAAACTTTGGTATTGTGATTGTTTAAAATTACCTTCGCCCTAAATAGGGGCCCCTGCTGTTAGTGCGTGGTCGGTTGCTCCTTATTTTCAGTGTTAAAAAAAAAATTTTTTTTGCTGCTTAATTTTTTTGTTTTTAAAACTATAGCTATCCTTGTCTTTTGTCTGGCCTTCACGCGTTGGTATTGCAGTGCTACTTCGAAAAGCGGAGGTAGTTGTGTGTTGTGAGGAAGCTTTTAAAGTTGGTGGGCCGCAATTACGACGACTGTAGAACAGTGAGCCACCCCGCCCGTATTCGTGTAAATGAAGCCTGCTCCGTTTTGAAAAATGACAATGCAGTGTGTACCGTTGCCCGTTTTATCTTAACAGCGCCTCCCTAATCTTTGCCTGAGCGTCCGTGTCGGCGAGCTCACCCTCCGTCATTTGGGGGGGGGGGGGGGGGGGGGGGGGGAGGGATGCCGTTGAACCCCTCCCGAAATAAAATCCTGGCTACGCCACTGGCGCCGAAACGGCATACGTTTGCTCGAAGCTTATGGCTGTTTGCGAGTAATATCCTGCTAAAAGGCGTGACTTTTTTTGCACATGCTTAGGAACTGCATTCAAAGAACCTTATTTCAGTAGGGTACACCCTAGAAGATTATATAATTCGAAACAAAATACAAGACATCCATCGATCAACGCTTATTACCCCGACCATCCGACAAAACTTTGCGTTCTGTGACGTCACGCAGCACCTACGGATGTCAGCCATTGACACTGGCGAAATTCGGGGTGCAGTTTCGTACATACGCTCATGAAAGGTTTAATTAATAACGGGAGATCATATATTTAAAATAAAAATAACGTTTGTCTACATGGAGGCTCCCTCGACACAACGAGCGCAAAAACTTAAGTACTTCCGGTTTCGACCGGACACTCCCTTTAAGCGTCTACCTTTTTTGCGGTTTCCACGTCTCTTGGGATTCGGGCAAGCCAGCGCGGGCACGGAGGGAGTAACTAAATATTACTGCGTCATATTTTAACAGGACGACGCGGAAACCTCCTCCACCGACGAGGGCGACCCGCGTTGCCGAAAGCGTGTGATATGTGACGTCTTTGGTCCTGGGCTTACTACTGGTCAGAGCCGCTAAAAGGCTTTTCTTTTAGTCGAGATACAAAATATAAGTGTCCCGAACCGTTTCAATTATGGATGAAAGTAGTTTTTGTTCAGTATTTTATATCAGAAAAGAAACAGATACAGTTTATAAAGTACGGAAACAAGAAAAGACCCGTCGACAAACCCGCCATCAAGCGGCGGAAAAAAACGGCGCAGACTAGAAAGGGCTAGTGGGATGAAGCGCAAACGAGCTGCGAGCGTAAAAAGGTCCCGGATGTACGGGGCGGCGCTGCGGTCATATACCGGCTCGAGGATCCGACCGGTTCCAAGCGTTCCGAAGGCTTTCGGCGCGGGCTTGGCTGGCGATTTGGCCATTTGGCGGTATGGCAGCGCGAAGTGGCTCCCGTTCTGAACTTGTCTTTACCCCGCGTTTGCTGTCGTTTGTGGCCAATGAAGTGTTATGCCGAATCAGTCTTTAATCGCGCACCAAAAGCAATGTCAGCCGACACCGCAAGGAACTTCTCATAAGGAGCGGAAAAGGACACACCAGCGTTTGTTTACCTAACTGGTGCACTTTAAGAGGCGATGCAAGTACATTTTTGTGGGCGCGGGTCCGGTTACGCAGGAATTCGTTTTTGTTTGTAAGACGAAGATAAAATAGTTATGGTTAGTGTCACGTGGCTAATAATACGATAATGTTCACGGGAATGGCGGAATAAATTCAGATGGTCACGCCATATTAAATTAAACGACGTGTAAATAAATGTGAAGATAAAAACTGTCTCGTATTTGTATTGTGAGTGACTAGTGAACCGCTCATTGCCAAATTTTCGTGACAAACGGATTGATGTGTGACGGCACAATATTGAACATAGTCACTTTTTATGGGATTGAAAAAAAAAGTTTTATGTTAAACTGATAAAATTTTCAAACACACTCAAAGTAAAAAAATAAATAAAGGTAGAGTTTTTATTTAGCATTGCTGCTTCACGTAATCACTTTAGGTGGTTTCATCTGAATTAAAATAACCTGAGGTGAACAAGAAACTCAATAAAAAAAATAAGCAGATTGAAAAAAAGTGACAGCAACCTTTATGACTAAAGTCCTATGCTATAATGTTCAACAAATGCATTACAGAGTCGTTTCGGGGAGTGGAGACGAACCTATATTTTTAATAAATCTCCCGACAAATATAGCGGGGAAACTGACTTGGTACAAAGATCCCGCGACGTCAATTTTCCCGCTAATTTAGTCGGAAAATTAATTGGTGCATAAGTCGCGTGACATCAATTTATCCGCTACATTAGCTGGAAAACTGAATTCATGTATAGGTCACGTGACGTCAGGTCATGTGACATCAATTTCCACGCCAAATTTAGCGGAGAATCTGAATTGATGCATGGATTACATGATGTCAAATTTATTATTTACCCCTAAATTTAGCGGAGAAATTTAATTCGTCTGTAGGTCTTGTGACGTCAGGTCACGGGGCATCAATTTCCCTCTAAGCTTAGCGGGGAAATTGAATTTGTGTTTAGGACACATGATGTCAATTTTCCCGTTAAATTTAGCGGAAAATGCGAGGACGGGCAAAATATTGGGAGGGGAGGGGGAGTATTTTATGCTTTAAAACAAAACTCAGTAACTCAGGGAATACATTGTATTGTGAGTTCCCTGAGTTCATGCTACTGCCTGGATGTGTACATATGTGTTCGTCTACGAAATCAACACGTACTTTTTGTATTGCAGCTCTCAGTGGCTGCATGTTGTCAGGTGGAATGTGCGAACTTTGTGTTCGAAAATCAAATGAACGGAACTTTGTGTCTGGTAAGCTCACATTGATTAGCGCGACAAAACCTTCAAATTGACGAAAATTATCATTATAAAATATTTTGCAAGCTCTAGAATTACGGCCCAGCTTTCTCGATGCCTTGTTTGAACAACCCCAAATTATACAATAAGAGAAGCTCCTAAACTGTCGTCATATTATTGATAACCTTACTTTTCCATGCAGTGTCGCGAATGGCGGTAGTCAGGAGGACCTCGAAGAAACGTAGGCTGTCAGTTTGAGATTTCATTGGAGGTCTCTATTTAATCTTTCCGATTATCAACTTCTGCTAACTTTTCGCTTTCTTTGAACCACGGTCATAATGCGGCGATTGTTCCCATTCGCTCACAACGTTGGCCGCCTCTCTTTGTCGATCGATTCTTTGATTTGTGTGCATGCGAGCAAGGCTGGTGTTAAGTTTAAATCAAATTTAATATTTATGAAAGAATATATCGTATTATTGTACAGTTTCTCGAATTAACAAATATATAGTCGACTTTCTCTAAAATCTCGGGTTTACAGCGTTATGTCCCTCTTTACTAAACAGCACTAATTTGCGAGTGTTTTAATTTTAAAAAAAAATGATTCGAGTCTTAAATTTTTTGTATACGAGTCCACTAATTTTCTAAAATAATTATAGGACTCGCGTGCCTGGAAGTTCGTTATGCTTCAGTAAAATTCAGCTTTTAATATTTCAGTTCAATCTAATTTTACCACTAACACGGCATTGAGGGCCCCCAGACGAAAAGCTGTCGTAGACAGCTTGAGAGTGTCTGAGTTCGTACAAGCAACAGCGTTTCAACTAGAAAGTATGATGACCCGTAGAGTGCTCAAATAATAGTTGGCATCATATATGTTTGTACAATACAGGTTTGACACTTTTGTCACTTATTGGAGGGGGCAAACAAACACGAAAAAAACGTTTCCGTATTTGCGACATAAACAACGTCCCAAGGCATATCACTCAATTCCTGGATAATACTAATAAAGAAAAAATCTGACCTTATTCCGCTTTGGTACGGAGCTCACGCTCATTGAGAAATATCAACGACATTAAATAGAAGCTTGCTTTGAGATCTACCCACTATCCTTCAATCATAGTCAATCAGCTCGGCGTTCCGTTGTCACCACGACCCCTGGCTATAGGAAGCAGACGAATTTGCGCTCCGCTAAGTATGGTGCGGGAGCATATAACTACTTATAACCAGTACCAATCCAACTCGGAGAGTTTCACGTGGCAAAGTGAGAGAATAAACAAAACAGTAGTGACTCGAATATACAGGGTATTTTATGTTTTGTTTAGGCTTTACAGAATTGTTGATGCGGACGATGCGGGCGAGTTATACGGTTAGGTGGACATAATATAGGGAATCGTAACGATGAATCGGAAAAAAGAATAGCCAAGATTTGTTAATTACTTTTTATTAGAAATTAGAAATTTGCTGAGCATAATCGAAAATCACTACATCAGACAATAATGGAAAAACTTGGAGCACGTGGAAAACACGGTGGCGCGCTGAAATTACAACTCGTGCAAGCGCAAATGTGCGAGAACACCGACAGCGTAGTGTTTCCGTCTCTTATCACCCGCGTTTTCGTACCACCAGCCTTGCGTCTATTGTGCGAGTGGTAACGTCTAGCGGCACCACCGAACTCCCCAGCGCTCACAGTCTCTCTAAAATTGAGCGATTTAGGGGTTTTCGTTGACGGTCAGCGAGTTTCTAATTGGAACCTTTCACTAATTAAAACGTTAATTAACAAATTTTAATAATTTGACTTACCGTGACGGTTAACCCCTTGTCTTATGTGCCCCCCGTACAACTCACCTGCACAAACCGCATAAGTGTGGCTTTCACGTTTTCTTTTTTTTCTTCAAACAAATATCTAAAGTTTAAAACAAACACCCTGTATATTTTTACAACATAGAGACAAAAAAATGCTAACTCTTGTTTACAAAATATCTCGTCTCTTCTTTCGCGTGAAAATGTTGAAATCAATATTTTATTCGCCATATTTATTTCATTGTTTTAGTATTTGTATTCTGCTTGTAGACTGGAACCCCGAGAATAAGTTAGCGTTTTTTCTATAGGAAGTATTCACTGGCGGCCATAGCTGTGTGCGCGACTGCTGAGCGCGTGCTGATGGCGAGCTTCAACAGTTCTTTTGTAACGTGCATTTCGCACCCTCAAGGTTGCCGGTCTTAGCAGCCTATTAATGTGGGCTCGTTCTGAGCATGCGCTCTAAACAGCACCCACAAATATGGCGCCCAGTGAATACTCCTTATAAGTGTTACGTGTTGATGTTATTTAAACCTGATAACACGTTTCGAATACCGAAATAAACTAATATTGCTTTAATTTGTTTTCAGCTACAGTACGATGCCTTCCGAACATTTTTAGGAAGATGGAAAAAAAGATACGTCATTGGCGAGTGCCATTCAGGAAGCTGTGTACTGGGGCGATACTCTCGCGTGATAGACGCACCCTGATCACAGTAATACCAAGGAGAAGCAAGAAAAAAAAAATGATTTTTTTGTATATTTTGAAGACACTCTCAACGCATTTCATTAAAATATCATCTGGGACATCACGATGCCTTGTGACGTTACGCCATATGACACCCTCATGTCACACTATCACGTGACGTCATAATGTAAAGTAATGGCCAACGTTAACATTAGATTAACTCAGTTATGGAACTGCTCATAGACGCTCCATGCACGAACAGTACCCCCCCTCATTCCCCACGACTCGCCTGGCGTCGCTCGGCGCGCCGCCGGACGGCTGCTTTGGTAACTGCAGTGTGGGATACGTACGTTTCAACGTTACTAGAACCCTCAGTTGGGGAAACTCACCGTCGAAACTGGGGCCGCTGGCGTCACCGACACCGAGCTATATACGACAACAGCGCCACTCTTTATCATTCGTCTGTACTGTGGTCACCTTGAGCTTTTAGAAAGCATGTTTTTGCGTAAAAACAAACGAATAAAAACTCTTTTTGTAGTAACTTTTATTGGGGTTTAGTTCTAAATGAGGGGCGCATGATGTTTTCTAAAATTTTAGTTTGCAAAGTTTCAGCACAATTAATATTGTTTTTATACAACCATGCCTCAGCGGTGATTTCAGGTAGCGATTTCAGGACCTAGGCGCGTCTTAACTTCGGAGGTATTTCGCGGCGCGTGCGCTTGGGAGATGGGGGTGGCACCCCTGAAACCGTATCTGTTTTGGCTCTGAAATGACCGAAAGCCAAAATAGATGTCACGTGCAGTTCCTCGATGGGCCGCTGCGGGAGAAATGGCGGCGTTGTGATCGCCATTAGCTCTGTCCGTCTATGCTGAAAAAAGCGGTGGAGAAACTGCATCGTGACGTCGCCGGTGGGAGGAGCCTAATCTCCATCGCCAACAAACTACATCGGAAGAGAACTGCACCGTGACGTGTCCGGTGAGGTCGCCGAACAGTGGCGATTGAGTTGAAACTACATCGTTTTTCTTTTTTTTTTCTTTTTTTTTGTTTGTTTTTTCCCCTACAGGGAATTTTGGAGAATCGCCGAGTAGGCTAGCTCGGAGCACGTAGAGATAAAGCTCGCGCTGCAGAACCCCGGGATCCTGGGCAAACGAGAAATCATAGAAGCCTTCCACATGGCATCAGGGAAGCACGGCACGTGTGTCAGTGATCCTTCCATTGCACTGAACAAAAAGGAAATTGAACTGCTGAGACAATACATAGCATAACGAGGCGGACACCAGCACCAGCTTCAAGTTCCCCTCCCACACCACAAAAACCGAACGTTTATCAGAAAACGGGAAAAACACCACAAAAATCGAAAGTCCACACATCTTCATGAAGACATTTATCATTATTTCATAGCGTTCGCTCCTTTTCAAACTCACGCATTGGGAAACTCATGCATTGAAAAGGAGGAAAAAGAAAAGAATAAACAGTTGTTAGTCTGCGCCAATTTGTGTTCGTTGTGTTTCTCCTCATATCAATGTAAACTCATCCTTTTCATTTCAATTTTTAGTCACGCGTTTGTTCAGTAGAACTTCGCAGCGCAGCACGTCTATCAATGTACAACCAACTAGCCCAAACCCAAGTCCAAGCTTTATTAATCCTGGGCTCAATCTCCGCACCTGCCCGTTTCGATCTGGATGAGCATCGTACCGGCGTGCGGTCGTGTATCACTACTGCGTGGTGCACGTTAAAGACCCCGGGCTAGCAGTCCTACTGGACTAGCTCAATTGCTTATCTACAGTGGGTAACAATGTCGCCCATGTTCAGGCAGACTAACCTCCTGCGGTATAAACAACTAACGACAAATTTTACTTTTTGACTATGTTTGACAGCGTTAGTGCAACTTCTCTCGTGCTGCACGAGAAAGAAAAAAATATTCCTTCGGTGGTTAAAATTTTGGTGAAGCAGGAAGCAAAAAAGAAGAAAAGAGAGTATTTCCCTCGAGTTGGGTTCGTGGTAGAAGAGGAGGAAAAAGAAAATCAGTTGTTATACTTTGTCTCACCTTATGATGTACCGCAGGAAAGGCTACAAGCGCGAGCTCCTTGCTCTGGGGCACATCTCGGCGGCACAAGCTCTCGTGACTTAAGAGCAGACTTGTACCGTACGCATTACAAGTAATCAAATTACTTGTAATCGATTACTTTTTGGAGTAATTTTGTAATCAGTTGATTACTTTTATTAGGTAGTAATCACAAGAGTAATCTTATTACTTTTTGAAGTAATAAAATTACTTGTAACCGTTACAATTTGTCCACGGGACACCCGCCCCCCCCCCCCCCCCCCCCCCCCCCGGGCACACGCGTTTTTTTTTTATGAAAGGACAAAGACAAAAATAAAATGGGCTTTTTTTTTTTCGAACGGGAAAAATAATGATTTTTCGGAGCTGTAGGAAACGAGGTCAATCTCTTTCCATGTACAGTTCCTGTGAAATGTCCGTTTTTTTTTTGTTTTTGTTTTTTTTTCGAGCTGCGACTGGGAGTGGGAAGCCCCAGGGAAGCTACAGTGCGTGACAAAGGCCATTCAGGGCGAAGTTTGAGGAAGCAGAATGTAGCTTTGTGAGTCCTTCGTTCAAACTAGCCCCCTCACGCACACACACACATAAATTAAAAAATTAAAAAAATCCTGCTTAGGGTACCTACTCGAAGCCCGTAGGAGAACCAGAACCGAAGATGCCTAAAGCGGATGCAAAATATAACAAAGGCAGTTGAAATATTTCCCCATTTCCCGTAAGTGGTCTTTGTGACAAGCAATGTTTCGAGTTGAGAAGTGGTCGGGGCGATCTCCTGGTAATGGATGCTACACATGATCCGTTTCAAATCCTGGAGCTGCTGCTCTTTTGTATAACATGCGAGCTCATCCACATGTGAATAATAAAATTAGCGACGCAAACTTTGAGTGACAACTCTTGCTCAAGCTTAACAAGATCTAGAACCCCCTCCGCCGCCCCCCCCCCCCCCCCCCAATACACACACTGGCGAACGGCCAAATCATTAAACGTCTTCAAACGAATTCTATGCTTGTGTCCGCATTGTGAAAGTGCAACCCACGACCACGAAGAGGGAGCCAGTTTTTCTTCTTCAATAGTTGTGCAAATGTGAAATATAGGTTGGAAGTAGTTCATTGTTATGAGCGCTAAAGATGTGTCTTCACACAATAAAGTAATCGGAAAAGTAACGATTACTTCTTTAAGTAATGTCCAATTACTTTTGCCGTCGAGTAATCAAGTAATCTAATCGAATACTTTTTAGCCAAGAGTAATAGTAATTGTAATCGATTACTTTTTTATAGTAACGTGTACAAGACTGCTTAAGAGCGGCTGCCAACGGTATGAGATCGCGCTTCTAGCCTTCGCTGAGGTACAACATAAAGTAAAACGAAGTATAGTCCCAGTCAGTTAGTCAGAAAACGATTAATGCCATAGAAGAAGAAAAGTAAAAGAAAAAAAAAGGAAGAAAAGAGTGAAGGGGGTATGAGGGAGTGCGCCGGTGATATCAAGATCTGGACGCTGGCACTAAGGAAAGGTAACTAAATCTAAATGAATATGTCCAGCTTGGCCTCATAGATAAAATTCAGGAGACCTTTCAAGACTCTTCGTCTGGCACTCTCGAAGCCTGGTGGATGTGTCCACCCCTCCATAGATGCGATGTCTGTTGGTCGATGTCTTGCCCTTATGTCTTTGTACTCTGGACACCCCACACCAAGTGAAAAGTGTCTGCCTTGACGCCCATGTTGCACTTGGAGCAAGTTCCGGATCTTTTTCCTTGGCTCCAAGATGCGATGCGCGCTGGTGTTAGTGCGGTGTCCGTCCTCACTCGAGTCAGGAGAACTCTCGCCCGTCTTCCAAAACCCGTGCAAGGGAGCGGGTCTGGGTTTTCGGGGAGTTTCTCTCCGAGTTTCGCTAGAGAGTCTTCTCTGATCTTGGCACGAACCTCGCCTGGATCATATTCTTGTGGTTCCCAGTAGGCCTGTGCCCGATCGCGAGCGTGGCCGTACCCGTGGTCATTTTGTGATGCAGGTATGTCGTCCGAACTACGGGGAATAATAAGCGACGCGCGGGCCAGGCGATGTACCTGTTCGTTGCCGGCTATGCCCGCGTGACCGGGAACCCATGCAATTCTTGTGGTGGTGCCTCTTGAAGCTAGTTGAGAAGAAAGTTTCTTTATCGAGCGGGCTATCCCGCTTGGACTGTTTCTTATTCTACATTCCTTCACCGCTTCTTGCGAATCTGTAAATATCCGGAGATTCGTTGTTAGCGGGTTGGGGAGTGCGAGGACCGTCTCGAGGGCGAGGCGGATTGCTGTGAGTTCTTCTCTGGTCGAGGCGCCTTCGGGGAGCTGCTTGGTAGCGCTGAATTGTAGGTCAGGGATGGCTACAGCTACCGTCTTCAGGGTGATGGGGCAGTCTAGCGATGCGGTATCCGTGTAGGCAGCCATGATGCAACTCGGATCCCATGCTTCTACCATCTTGGTGTGCGCCTTGGCTTTACGTGTTAGCTGCTTGGTGTCCCTCTTGCGTGCACTAGGCTGTTGTCGGTGATCTCCGCGAGGTCTTCCTATGGTGGAAGTTTCTCGGGTAGTTCTGGGAGGTTCTCTGTGGGCCTGTGAAGGAGCTTCATAATCTCTCTGCCTTGTCCAGTAAGCTTGAGGCTCTCACTGTGAGCAACCGTGCGGGCCGTCACTACGTCATGGAGTTCGTTGATACCGGCTTGTTCCCGCAGTTTGCCGAGCGGGGTAAACTTAGGAAGGCCGGTAATTACACGCATTGCTTGATTGTTTAAGGTTTCCAGTTTCTGCCACTGTCCCTTGTTAAGCCACTAGTGGAGGGCTCCGTAGACTACGCGTGAGACTACGAGGGCTTTGACCATCCGTTTGGCTATGTTTTCAGTCGCGCCTCCTCTTGCGCTGCATATACGCCTGATTGCGTTGAGCGCGGAGTTGCAGTAATTGATTGTGTCTTGTAACCAGATGTCTCCCTTGCCCGTTTCTTTGATCGTAATCCCTAGGATCCTGACTGAAGGGGAGAGTTTGATTCTTTTACTCGCGAGTACGAGATTAAATCGT